GTAAACACATGCACGTGCAGAATAGATGAAGTATTAGTGAATTAAAGACAAAGTAATGAATCTGTAAGATAAAAAACATTAAATGTCAAGTGAATTGAGCAAGATATCTCAAGCACATTGATTCTGCTAGAAAATGATATTGTATTTTTGCTAGTATATTTATTGCTCAGCGTGAAATTACAATCGAAATTCTTTTCTAAGTGAAACCAAAAACGATTGATCTCTCATGGCTGATTTTCGAGTGTATTTTGAAATTTTCAATGATTATTGAATAAATCTATTGATGTATTTAGATCAAAAATTAGAAGAACATAAATCAATTCCAAGTGAAATAAAATTTGAAATTCCTTATATATTTTCTATTGAATTTGTTTGGGAAACTATTCAACAAGTACTTAGTGATGTTTTAAGTGAATATATTGATTTTGATAATGTACTTGAACCATTATCATCTGATTCTTCATCAACATTACATTCAACTGATTATACTGATCGTCCATCATTAATTGATTTTTCACATTATTTAACAAAAAAAGCTCCAGCACGTTCACAGCATATTCCACGACTTTTTGAATTTTCTCAATCTGCTCAATTTAATTCCATGACATTATATTTACAAGAACAAAATTGTTTTGCTATGAAACAAGAAACATCAACAACAAAACAACGTACTACTACATATAAACAATATGTATGTAAACCAAATTATCGAAATATTACAGCTGTACATGATATTCTTCAAAGAATTATTGAAGATATTGATACGAATTATACATTACATCCAACTAAACGTATTCTTGACAGGTTAGAAATCTTTTTTTTTTTTACTTGATGAACTGAGTAATACAATTTAAACATTGAAAGAATGAAAGATGAAATGACAATTTTTGAAGTATTTTCTTTTGAAAATAATAATAATATTCATTTAAAAAATTTTTCTGAACAAAATTATACTTTAAGTTAAACTATTTCTCTTTCTTCACTATCCAAAATATTGAGTTTTTTCTCAAACGAAGAGGTGCATTGAAGTGTTTTGTTTCACAATTCATATAAATTTCCAAAAAGTAAACTGATTGAAACAGTTTTATTAAACGAAATTTCGATGCTAGTACCACATTCTCTTATCATTCAAGATAGAAATAATAAATTTTTGTTTGTTTTAAAGGTATAAATGATAAGTAATTCCATCGTAAGAAGGAGAGCTCTTAAAGCATTTCATGTAACGGAATTTATTTTTTAAAAACTCATAAATAGTTCTGATCTAATCAATTTCGAATTTTCAAAATAGTACATGATAGAAGACGCCTGAAAGTTTTTCAAGTGGACAATCTCTATGAAATAATAATTATTGAAATCGCATTGTTTTCCTGTACCTTAGTTTACTATCAACGTGGAAAGATCTACGTTCCATTTTACCTGTATGTTTTTCAAGTTATTATGACTTGCATATTTTTCGTTCTTTTCGTCCTTTTGGATGTGGGTATGCATGGATGTCTGTTTCCTTCATTCACATCCAAAAAGACTAAAGAAACTAATATATTCTTACAGCTTTACAAGGAGTGTAAGCATACAAATATACGGCTTGTCCACGTAACGCGACACTTCGCTGATCAAGTTTTGAAAAAATTTTTTTTCGAATTGGACAGATCTCAGTGGGGTACTAGATGCAATTTTTTACGCTGATTACGAATTTGGTATTAATTTTGTATAAAAATCAGATTTTGATATCGAAAACTGGATTTTAAAGTTTTCCGAAACCGTATTTTGGATTTTTTGACCAAGAAATTTTTTCAACAAAGGTCAAGAGACATACCATTCGATGCAGAATTAAATTCTCTACAAAATGGTCTATTTAGTTTTGACTTTGGCAGCTTAGAACAAATTGGAGACTTCGATACAATTCCCAACTTTCTGCTCAGTTTATGAGCTCTCAGATCGATGTATCAATCTCATTTTTGCATAGGGGATTGTCTACATAGAAAACAGTAACACTTATAAAAATCAAGTCATTCTGGGTACATTAAGTGCCTCAAAATTGGTCAACAAAAAACTGTGTAACAGCGTTACGAAAAACGTAACAGCGTTACGTTTGTTTTTTGCATTTTTTATCTGAGCAAAAATATTTTAGAGAAAATTTCTTTTACTGCCTGAAAGCCTATTCAATGCTCTACAAAAATGACTCTCGGAGCATTACATTTGAAGAAATGGTTTCGCAAGAATTTAGAGTTTTCTTGGCGGCACTGGAAAAAAGGGTCCTTTTATGTAACAGCGTTACGCCATGATAAAACCTTTCTAGATGCCTGAGACTTTAGTCAAAAAAGGCCATTTTTATACGATAAATAAAGTTCGATAAGCTGCGTCGAATAACGTTTGAACGAACTTCCTAGCTCTTAAACTTTTCGAGATAGTTGAAGAAGAATGTGTCAAAAACGTAACAGCGTTACGTTTGGACAAGCCGTATAATCGGATATATTTGATTTTTCATGGAGGTATGAAAGAATGAATTTACTCGCAAAATACCATAATTAATATATTAAATGATTTCTTTTAAATTAAATTACTTATTTCTATAGTAAACTGTTTCATCAATTTAAGATTAATGATTTGAAAATTTTTTCTGTTTTGTTTTTGAAGAAAATTAACTACATTTATTCGTGATCGTTTTATTGGTCGTGTTATAAAAGATATTCGTGAATCTGCTCAATTATCATCATCATCATCAATAACTGATCGTAATCGTCTAATTGAATTAATTCCATCTGTATTACAAAAACAACTTGAATTATCAATACCAATTCTTCAATCAACATATTTAATCTTTAAATCTTGTGAAGAATTATGTGCATTAGTTAAATTTCTTCCAACATATGCAGATGATTTTTGTCAAGCAATTGTTGATCTTTTATTTAAAAATCGTGAATCATGTTATAAATTATTTTTATCAATTGTTGAAAAAAATGATGCACTTGGAGTATCAATTTATTCAAATGAATGGGTTAAAGATCCAGATATAAATCGTCATTTACGTACAATGCCTGCATTTGATGCATTTATACGTATGACAAAACAAGAACATCCAATAAATAATGATAATCAAGATGATACTGTTGAAAATATACGTTTTAGACAAACAAAAGAAACGGAAACATTATTAATTAATTTTAGTCAAAATGAGATGAATATTGATGATATTTGTACAAATTATAAACATATTAATGCATTAGCAACTATACATGAAAGTTTAGATTGGTTATATTGTAAATTAATAAATTATTTTGATATATTAGATAAATGTTTACATGATACAAAATGTCTTGATGCATTAACACCAACAACAGGTAGAAATTCAAATAAGTTTTTATTAACTCTTTGAATAAAATATGCAATTCAAAATAGTGAAAAATGAAAACATAAACGATTGTACTATATTATCTTCATTATTGTCACACTTTTGATAATAGATATTTCCGATTAATAAGGATAACAAGAAAGAATGAGAACTCCCAGAAGAGATGTATGTGTGGTGGAAAGAGATCAGAGATGTCCATCGCGGCGCGGTAGCGGCAGATTTTTTAAAAAGTCATCGCGGCAGCGGCGCGGTAGCGGCAGGTTTTTTAAAAAACCATCGCGGCAGCGGCAGGATTTTTTTTGAAGGACATTGAAAAACTGTGTGAATTTAATAGAATTTCAGGATTTACAAATGAAACGCCCTGATATTGAATAAATCTGATGGACTAGTACCCATATCTTTGGTCAAATATAGTCACAGCAGTGAAATTAGAAACACTTTTTTGAAAACCGTCGCGGCAGCGGCGCGGTGGCGGGACGTTTATTTTATAATTCATCGCGGCAGCGGCGCGGCAGCGTTTCTTTTATAAGTTATCGCGGTGCGGCAGCGTCGCGGGCAACATTTTTTTATAAACCGTCGCGGCGCGGCTGCAGCAGATTTTCAGCCGCGATGGACATCTCTGAAAGAGATATAACCATATATGCATTACATATGCATGTAAAAGTGAATAGAAAAAATATCAATGAATGATGTATTTTAGTTGATAGGAAAAAAGACAATAAGTGATATATTCACATACATTAAACTACTTAGGGGTATCCAAAAGTAGTGGCGCCATTACCAAATTTCCTTATAGAAAGGTTGAAAAAATTTTCTTTTTTTATGAAAAGATAGAGCGTCTTTCGCTCTATTTTTCTATGCTATTTGATCACTATTCAACTGATATCATAATAATAAAATTTCGATAAAAACTGTTTTTTGTTGGAAATTAGCTGGTGGTATTTGGATCATAATGAGAGTGGCATAAAAAAATCGGGCACTTTTGGATTTCATTTTGTTATCACTTAATATGTTGTATTAAAAAAACAAAATATACCACAAGATGCAGCTTGAAAAGCTCTACAATTTATAAAGGATCGCTTATTTAATAGTTGCACTTTTTATTTTCAAAATGGACAAAACTCTGAGCGACCAAATTTCGACGTTGCGAAAATGGGATTGTTTTTGGCTAAAAGACGAATTCGTTTTCTTTTCTACTGCATCTTTTTATAATTGTTCTTTGTAAATTGTGGAGCTTTTCACGCTGCGTCTTGTAGTGTATTTTGTTTCTTCTAATAAAGTAGATCAGATAAGAAAAAGATGAGATAAGAAAAAATGATTTCGTCTGTTACTAAAACAAGCATCTCTTTTTTGCAATGTCGATATTTGGCCGCTCAGAGTTTTGTCCATTTTGAAAATAAAAAGTGCAACTATTAAATAAGCGATCCTTTATAAATTGTAGAGCTTTTCAAGCTGCATCCTGTGGTATATTTTGTTTTTTTAATATAGCATATTAAGTGATAATAAAATGAAATACCAAAAAGGTCCCATCCATTATGATCTAATACCACCAGCCAGTTTCCAACAAAAAAAGGTTTTTATCGAAATTTTATTATTATGATATCAGTTGAATAGTGATCAAATAGCATAGAAAAATAGAGCGAAAGACGCTCTATCTTTTCATAAAAAAAGAAAATTTTCTCAACCTTTCTACAGGGTGGTAAATAATATTATTCCAGGGGGGTACCAGTATGATCTCGAATCGGAGATATCATGAATTTTATACCAAATGAAAGCCCGTGAAAAATGGGGTTTAGTGATAGTAAATAGTAAGACTTTGAAGAACTTTCGTGTACCAAATTTTTAAAAACAACGAAATTTTCTTTCAAAAACACGTTAAAAATCATTTTTCATACATTTTGAGACATTGAAAACGAACATTTTTTATGAAAACGAAAGAGAAATGATAACGATGATGATATATGACTATGACTCACACAATAAGATGGTTCTTTGGCGTTCTGTTCTTCTCTCCACGTGATACTAGTTATTTGAAAAATTTTTTCGTTCTCGGACTGTCTGAAAGTTATAGTCGAGTGAAATCTCAGTGTTTTTTCGTTTGTTATTTCAAATGGCTGGCGCTTATGATACCGAACAACAAAGAATGATTGATAGAATTAAATGCATTACTTTCCGAGAAGCTCGTGATGCTGGTGCAACATTTATAAATAGACAATGGATTGCCGACAAAATTCACCGTACGACTCGATTTGTTACAGAATGGTGGGAAAAATCGTGTGACCAATGTTTTGCTGATTATTCGAATGCTGGTCCTAAACTCAAGTTATCGAGAGCTGCTCAGGACATTATTCGTGAAGCAAGTGGTCACCAACGGAAAAGCGGTTCTGTCGTGGCGAAAGAGATTGCAAAGAAACAAAAAGAATATGTTACTCGACAAACAGTTAATAACTACCGTCGTAGGGAAGGATTAAAGCCTTTTCATGTTATTTCAAGACCGTTAAAATCTGAAACTCATATATCAGATCGATTATGGCTCTGTGATTGGTTGAAAGATTGGACTGAAGAAGATTTTCTTCATCTGGCACCATCAGATGAATTTTATGTTTGGACAGTTCGCAAACCAAATTATCAAAATGATAGGATTTGGGCAAAAAGTGTTGAAGATATTGAAGACGATGAAAGGTATCGCGAAATGGTTAAAAACCAAGCGTGTATCGGTATTTTTATCATTTTCACCGCGAAAAAAATGCATTGGGTGATTAAAGACAAAGGTGAATCTTGGACCGGTCAATATTTTCGTGACATTATTTTAATGCAACACGTATTTCCATTCCTCACCGACGAGGAAAACGTAATTGATCTGGATAATGTGATATTTGTTCACGATAAAGCACCGTGTATGCGAGCAAACATGACTCAACATCTGATTAGAGATAACAAAATCGAGTTTTGGGGCAATGATATTTGGCCTGGTAATTCGCCCGATCTCAATGCGGCGGAACATATTGGATCAATAATGAAAGATGAAGTTGAACAAAAAATGTTATCGGAAACTGGACATAATCGATATAGTGAAGACACACTTAAAAAGCACATTGCGGATGTTTTGACGGACATGGAAGAAAATACCGAATTGTTTGAAGCTCTTTTATGTTCGTATCCATCTCGACTTCGTGCAGTAAAGAGTGCTAATGGTCGTCATACTGATTATTGATTGTACTCAATAAATAATAAGAAAATAAACAGTTGTACAACATATAGTTTAGCCCCGAACTTTTTCGATGAACTGATTTTATAATATTTTATGTCGATAAAAATCGTAACGTTTGATAAATTAATACAAGAAAGTTCTTCAAAGTCTTACTATTTACTATCACTAAACCCCATTTTTCACGAGCTTTCATTTGGTATAAAATTCATGATATCTCCGATTCGAGATCATAGTGTTACCCCCCTGGAATAATATTATTTACCACCCTGTATAAGGAAATTTGGTAATGGCGCCACTACTTTTGGATTGCCCTAAGTAATTTTAAATAGTTTAGAATGACATTAATGTTCATGTCTTATTGAGCATTTACAAGGACAACTATTATTGACTAAATGATTCTCACTATAACATCTAGATATTTCAAACTTCTAGATGTGTAGACTATAAGCAGATCTTGATGCATTATTAAACAAAAAGCTATTAAGGATTTATTCCCATTAGGTCTTTGTTCCACAAAGGTGAAATTCTCTTTATAAAAGTCAATATTTTAAGCTAAATTATACTTTTAAACTTTCAACGCTAATTCTGCTCATCAAAAAGCCCCAAGTAGACTAGCCTATGTACCTCATTTCACAATTTTTGAACTGTAGTTTTAATGAGACATGAATACGACAGTAGACTTATGTTTTCTACAATGTACATGAAAAAGCGCCTATATTTTGAAATATTTATATCTCTCAAAGGTAGCGTTCAAAAACATGATTTTATTTGAAGTCTTGAATGTCTATGCGGGAAATTAAATATATTCAGAACAAAGATCTGACGAGAATGAATCTTTCGTAATATTTTGCGCTATCTTATCCAGACCTGTTCATAGTCTAAAGATGTTTCTAAAACGAATTGAACATCTGGATATATACACTCATCAAACTTTGAGTGTGACTTGTAAAGCCTAGTTTCATTCATATCTAATTTCGATTAATCAGATGAATACAAGTGTTTTACAATTATTATTGAAATAAATGGCAAAAAAAAACTTTGAATCATCAAATCTGTAATTGTTTATCAAATCCGTGTTGTTATCTCGTCGATTGACGTAATCATCGTGCAACTGCCGTTTACCTTCATATTATATATGTGGAAGAATGACTACAGTATGATTGCCATGTGAGAATTTTTCGTCGGAATTTAACTATCATTGAAGACGTAAAGCTGCTTTCTAGAAGCATCTAACTATGTCACAGTGCTCTTTGGATAGTTAGTCTTTTCGATTTTATGCCCCTTTGTTCGTCTACTTTTTACCGATTCGTAGTATAAACATGTACTAATGGAAAGTATTTTTGTTTTCTCAATACATTGAATTTTCTTCAATAAATAACAGAAAAAAAAACCTATTAATCATTTAACAAAAAAAAATGCTCATGTTCATAACACTTATAAAATCACTTAAAACATTGAAGAAGATCAGATAATAGTAAAGGTCTATTGCGAGATAATCTGAATGCTAATTCTCTCAAAGATGATTGTCAAAAAGAAAATAATAGTTGTAATAATTGAGTTACTGTTATATCAATAATGAATGAATTTGTCTGATTTTTATTCATACGTATTTTTCTTTTCATTAATAAGCAATACAAACGCCTTTGGAAGAATGTCGAATTATATATCTCACCGATGTACTATTGAATTGTCTTCGATAATTTTTTATTTACGAGTACAAAGCTTAGAAAATATATACATAAAACAAAACGACTTTGAGGAACAAACTTCTTTTAATATTATTCTCGTGAGAGATAGGATGAAAAAAAAATGGTTTCAAGCAAGACACTAGCATTTATTTCATAAGTTTTTCATGATGCATGTTATGATATATTGTGTTTTTTTAATGAAATGTCATACTCCGATCATTCATCATTAAACATTATTTGTTAGTTCACGTGTTGCTGACTTAATTTCGATCATGATTCGAATAGATAACTCATCTTTTTTATTTTATTTTAGTCACACTTGGTTTTATTTCACGTTCAATCAAACAAAATTCATCTCATTATGATCAATTAAAATTATCACCTATAAATTTAGAAATATTTTCTAATGCAATGAAAACAACATTAACATTAGCTTATGATATATTACTTGTTTTATTTCTTGAAATACGTTTACATTGTTTTTATTATTTATCTTTATTTTTTCATGATACATTAAATTATGCCTATGCTTTAAATACAGATCCAGATGAAAATATAATGACATTAAATCGTGATTTATCACATTTACAAGAAACATTAAATTCTTCATTAAATGAAAAGAAATTTTCATTTTTATTTCAAGGTCTTGGTTTTGTTTTAGCAACAATATTAATACGTTCATCACCACGTTTTAGTCGTATAAGTGAATTAGGTGTAACGAAAATGTGTCGAAATATATTTGCTATTGAACAAACATTAACACAAATTCGAACAGCTGGTGATGCTGAATTAATGCGTGCACATCAATATTATGAATTATTATATTCAATAAAACCAGAAGATATTCTTAATATAATTGAAGAACATGGACAAGAATATAGTGAACAAGATTATTTACATCTATTACAATTGCAATATCGAAGTCTTTCAAGTGATGAGAGAGAACATTTTGATTTGAGTAAATATGAACAATTAGTAAAAACAGCTCTTAATCCCCAAATCAAGAACAGTAATTAAAGACAAATTATTTTTGTTTATTTATTTATTTTTTTCTCATATAGATTTTTATTTATTTCTATTGCATTTAAACTTCTATTTTCATTCCATTAACAAAGCAATAATATTTTTTGTTGATCAAACTAATTTTCCAAATATATTTTTTATTTTCATCTGTTCATTTGTTTTTTTTTTTAGATTAAATTATGGTCCTTTTTTTCAAGTGAACAAAATATATTTGAAATAAATCGTAGATCACTTTTATTTCACGAATAGTCAATATGACAATGCTAATATAGAAGATTTTGGTTACTTTTCAAGCATATTATGATATGCACAAAAATTTTTCACGTCGTATGTTAGATGGAAGTTTATATATATGATTCATAGGGAAGTAGAGTTGTGAAAGATAAAGGAACCTATCTTGAATTTTTGGTAAAGATTTTGTCATAAAAATCAATCTATTGAGATTCTATCCTTATTGTCTATCTTTTGCATTTCAAAAATTTTCAGAACTAATTAGGAAGTCTTGTAAAACGATGAACTATTTTTGAGATAACTTTCATCTCATTTGATAGACTCTACTAACAATAAAAAGTTTTCCAATTGATTAATAATTTTTGAATCTGGACTATATGCATCATGTAGAACCTAATGATGATATGATTATCCTGAAACGAGTTGAGACTCTTAACTGATTGCTGCGAAAATCCTACAGCATTACGGCATTTTTCAACTTATTGTCATAGTGTTCTTCAGGTACACTCAGCAAATCAATTTTTGAATTTCGACTTGAAACTCTCTATATAGACAGTGCTTAATGAGAATAGTTTGTAATGATAGTGCCAGATCTTTTAGTTGTTCCTATTCTAAGATACCATTATGGTAAAAGCATGTCTTTTACAGCGCTTGTATGTATCGATAGCGGCAGTGTCCTTATTTCAAGATCAGAGCAAATGAAAAGACTTGAAACTTGTCTGTGCGCAAATTTTCAAATCGAAATTCGAAAATTGATTTGCCTGATGTTCTGAAGGAAGACCATGAAATTAAGTTAACCAAAAGATACATATTACTGCAGTATCTCCGCAGTACTAAGCTAAGGGTCTGAACTTTTCTCAGAATATGCATAGTACACAAGGATGTACATGATGCCAATAGTTCCAACTAAAAGACGATTAATCGATGGGTGGACTTCCTTTGTAATTTTGATAAGTTTCTAAACATAGCACTGTCGTTCTCTTCTGATTACTTTTTACATGAATTTTAAGTTTGAGAAATAAATCTAAAAACAATGTTTACCTTTTTTTTTTTGCTTAACAGAATTTCTAATATTAGTATTTGAGGTTGAAAGACACTAGAAAATCTAATACTTTAGGAATGAGCTAAACGCAATAAGAACTTTATTTATGTCAAGTTTGAAATTGAAATTCGATTTCAAAAGTGATCCGAGAGAGACCATGACATTTTATTGAAACACTCACCTGTTTAATTGTTACTGCATAAATTTGCATGATATATAGTTGACTTAAATTTAGATTAATTTGAAAAAATTGAGCAATGGTATTTACATTATATAGTCTTATTGAAGCTGCTGTACTTTGCATAAATGCAGTAGCTGTTCTTAATGAAAGATTTCTTTCAAAATGTAAATAAATTTTTTATTTTTTCATCCAACATTTTTCATATAATACTATTGTAGTAAGTGGTAGTGCTAATAAAAATTATTCTGATGTTAGTGGATATAATGTGGATTATCAAAATTCTGTAGGAGCTAAACAACAACTATTAACATTAATTCGATCTGTTCGCACTGTGATGAGAAGTAAAAATTATTTATTCTTGTTTTTATTTATTTAATTTCGAATTTAATAATTTAGTTCCTTTGATTGCATTTAATATTGTAATTATAATTCTTCTTATTTTATTTGGTTAAAATTCATGACATTTAAATTTTTTCTGTGTGTTTTTGTTTTCTTTTGTTTTATTACATCCATATGTTTCAGATAATGTCAGCTACAACAGGTGAATCATCACTTAATTTAGAAAAAGATATTGAACGAGCAATTGTTTTAATTGATCGTCTTCGTACAACCAGTGAAATTCCTGAAGCAAAATTAACTGAATTACAACGTATATTACAAAGTGATTTTTTTCATGCTGTACTTGAAATTTATGAAAAAATTTATGAAACCGTACAAATAACTGGTTCACCTGAAGTTCGAGCTAATGCTACTGCTAAAGCAACTGTATGTTAAACAAGATTTCTTTTTTTTTTTTAATTAGATTATGAAAAAATTCAATAAATTTAGGTAGCTGCTTTTGCAGCTAGTGAAGGTCATTCTCATCCACGTGTTATCGAATTGCCAAAAACTGCCGAAGGACTTGGATTTAATGTCATGGGTGGTCGAGAACAAAATTCTCCTATTTATATATCACGTATTATTCCGAATGGTGTTGCTTGGAAACATGGTGGATTAAAAAAAGGTGATCAATTATTATCAGTAAATGGTGTATCTGTTGAAAATGAATATCATGAAAAAGCTGTAGATTTACTTAAACAAGCTCAAGGTACCGTGAAATTAGTTGTACGATATTCACCGCAAGTTTTAATTGAAATGGAAAATCGTTTTGAACAACAACGTGCACCAAGAAAAGCCGCAAATTCACCAATAAATAAATAAATGAATGAATAAAACTATTTCAGATCGTTTTTTTTTTGTGCCCTATATAAATAACAATTATTATTATTAATATTATTATTATCTTTATTTAATCTAGTAGTGAATGATAGTTTGTTTTTGTATATGTAATATGAATCTCAGTGTTTTATTTACCGATATTTAATTTAGAATATATTAATTATATATATATATATAGTCATTTAAATATATTTCTTTTAATTTGTCAATTATTTGAAGATAATTCTGACTAATTCAATTCACGTTTAAAGAGTATATTGAAGCCAATCCAATGCGTCGATTAATACTAATTCAACAAACTAGCGAGTTTTCATCGGCTAAAAAAACTTTTTGAACCTGTCACACCGAAGTAGCTCAAAAATTCTCGACCGGTTTCAACTCTGGTCTTTCCTTGTCGTACAAGTTTTAGGGTTATTCACTAAGTCATCATTATTAGATTTTCTTTGTATGTACATTGACACTTGACATATACATAATGACACAAGAAAGCTTCGTTTTTTTTCTAATTTTAAATCTAGTAGAAGATAGAAATAAAGAATAACAAATATTCCCAGAGTGAATTCGTGTTGATATACAATGAGGGATTGCAGCATAGATGAAATATCTCTCTTCTAAATTTTCATTGATCACCTTTTTTTCCCAAAAAAAATTTTCTCATGAAAATATATTGATTGCTTTTTGTTTCACAATCATTAAATTAATCAATAATTGAACAAAATAGAGTTAAACTTTCATATGGATCAAGTAAATAGTTCTTTCGACAATTCTTCTTCAATAAAAGAAAACTTTAAGATAATCGATTTGAACTTGGAATTGAAAAATCGCTGATTTGTTCATTTCTGATAATACTGCTAAAGAAAATAAGTTATAGAAACACTCACATCCATATTCATTTATGACACTATGATGAGCAACTAAATGCATGAGATTTCCAATCCTATCAAATTCAATACCAATTGTTAGCCTGGACGTTAGTATCTAATTTTTCAACTTTTATAGATATGTGTTAAATGATTAAGTTTACACCAATCAGATCTAAGAATTGAAATTAAAGCAGCTCTAAGTGAAAGGATGTATTAAAAAGCCTATGGAACATATTCAAATTGGATTCTAAAAGCTCATTGTAATTTTTATTCAAGAATGTGTAGAAAAAAACTTGAGGATATTTCTATTTTGTAACTCAAAATTGTTTTTTTTTGTGACCGTTTTATAATCTGAAGTAGTATCTATCTATTCAGTATATTTTTGGATCGAAAAATTGTCTTTGAACATTAAAAAGTCAAACTCACATAAAAATAATGGCAAAAACTGTATACTTTTTAGCCTTTTTCTCACACCAACGTTTTCATGAGAAAGATGCAGAAGTATCCTTATTTCTCTGGTCTAAGTACGTCCGACAGAGCTCAAACTTTTTTCACATATACTATACGCTACTTGAAAAGGATATTTTTCTATGTTTCAAAAAGCATGGTTCTGTTGATGCTCGACAGCTCTTACAAAAAAGAACTTCATTCAAAACAAACATGCATGTTATGAGGTACTTTCGATGTTTTCTTTTTTTTTATGCGAAGGACAAAATATAAAAAAAAGTAAAAGAGAAAACGACACCAAACAGTGTTTAGTGTTTGTAAAAAAAGTTTTCAGCTCGATTAAACATAAAATGTCGGAGGAACGAAGGCAAAAATTGGGGCGATTTTTGTAAGATCTACTTCTCCTGATAATTTCAAATTTTTTGATGAATTGTTGTTCTCAAAAACTTTTGAAAGGTGTAGAGCGGAGGAGATACCCTTTATCGAGATGTGTTTAAAACTGTGATTAACGAAGAACGATTTCGATTATTTTCTTCGTAAACGTCTTCGAAAATCTTGATAATGATCTATTTTTTTATCTAATATACAATTTGAATATAAATTATTCAGTTGATTAAGATAATATGAATGTTGAAATTGAAAGAAATTATAAATTAAATTCTAAAGAAGTCTAAATGAGAAAGATACGAATATAGGCTTCGAAAAATATAATTTATGTTTTCAAATTGAACATCTGCAACTAAGAGATGTCGATTTCTTTTTTTTTTCGAATCATTTATTAAAATATAATCAACACTATTTCATCAATACACAATTGGAGAAGACAAAAATATTGTTCTTTTACATTATCATTTATTATCGTATCTATATGAAACTCTTGAGAGCAAAGATGATGCTAAGATAGCTTTCTCCTTCTATTCTTTTCGTAAATACAAACGATAACGTAATTTCTATTTTCAAATGAATACCTACTGTTGAAGTTGTTGTTGGAATTAATCTTATCAAAAAGTAT